AATTTGTAGATCAATCTTGCAAATCATTCTGTTGATCAATTCTGCAAATCCCTTTTGTAGATCGATTTTGCAGATCACTTTATAGATCCGTTTACAATACAATAAATTCCTTACGAAACAAGTTCTGTTATAGGCAAAACTATTGAAATTCCTGAAAATAATATTAGAATAATCATATTATTATTTCTTATTAATGCAACTGAGAAAGTTTTAAATTTTCTAAAGATACATAAAGAAACTAAAAATCCTTAGTAAATTAAAAAAGTAGAGTGAAATTTTATATCAATTGTGAATATGTTTCAGGAAATTGAAACATATAGGAATTGATATACTATGCCATTAATATTAAAAGATCATTCTAACAATACAAGATTTTTGAATTAAAGGTTTGTAATTTTGGTAATTAATTTTATTTTTTAACATGTACTGTATTCCTCTGAAAATAAGCATCCTCTATAGGGATGCTTATTTTAGGATACTAACGAAATTGCTAAACTTCAATCTTAGAAGCTATGTCAAATGTCCAAAAAATATAATACAAATCTTATACAATACATAAATCTGTATTTAAAATAGGTTGCTTACATAAACGTATCAAGTATGATTTTTCTTCATTTGACTAATTATACAAAATGCTACAAAAAAAATGGTCACAATGCAAACAAAATGTTAAGCTATAAAGAAAGGTTATATTAAGAAAAAAACAAAATAAGGTTGTTAAATGAAATCAAAATTCATACTCACTTTCTCAAAAATTACAAGTTGTAAATTATGTAAAGTAGCATAAAAGAAATAAAGCTGTTATTCATTTTGATCTTAATGCTAGCATGTTATATATTGGATAAAGGTAAATATAGACTTATTAACTGTAATAAGTAAAAATAGCATATGGGTTAGATCTGGTCGAAAAGCTTTTTTTTCAGAAGTTAAAAAAGGTTATATAATTAGATAATAGAACAAAGAAAGCAGGATTTGCTATTATTTATATAACAATACAAAGTAAAATGCTGAAAATATTAAAAGAACTTGAAATGTTAGCTCTTTATGATAATATACCAAAGGAATTTAAAATGTCTCAATTGCATTTTTTAAAATGATATAGCATTACAAAAATATATAAAAATATCTTAAAATCTTCCAATTCAAATTTAGGAATTATTAGAAAAAATTTTCATAATTCATTATTCGTCTTAGAACTGAAAATCCTTCAAATTAGATGATATTTTCAATATGGATAAGACACTTGTTTGATTTGATATAACTGGTAATATCATAATCAATCCAAAAGGTGAAATGTCTATACATATTTGATCAACAGGTAATGAAAAGAATCAGTTTACTATAGTTTTAACATTTATTGCAAGTAAGGACTATTTTAGAAAGGGAAAATAGAATTCTTAAATCTTATTATTTTTATTATTATTTATTCATTATTATAGATAGTACTAGATTACCACTTATCTGCATTTTTAAAGGAAAATGAATATTATGAGAAGAGCAAGTTCCTTTCAGAATAGTAATATGATTCTAAGAAAATGTATGGATAAATACTGATCTGATAAAAATGTATGTGGATTATCTTAATGAAACAAGAGCTAATAATATTCTAACAATATTAATGTATGATTTATTTAGGAATTATATAGAAGAATCAGTTAAAACAAAGTTTTGTAAAAATAGATATGATTTAGCGATAATTTTAGGCAGATTGATCAATATCTGCTAACTACTTGATATTGTAATTAATAAATCGTTTAAAGAAAAACTATAAAATGAATGGCATAAATAAATGTCTAAAGGTAATGCTAAAATAACTGCTGCAAGCAACCTTTGTCAGATAAAATTAAATGATATTTGCATGTAGATTAAGCACTCTTAGGAGGTAATTTCAAATGAAATTATTATCAAGTCTTTTAAAAAATATAGGATATCAAATTCTTTAGATGAATCAAATGAAAGCGAAAATGAAGAAAGTAGAGATAAAAGTGAAAATAAAAGTACAGGTGAGAATGAAGAAAAGATTTTAAACATTATAACTATTGATAGCAGTGATTGTGATGATATTGATAACATTGATATTAATGATAATTGTGATAATGATTAAGTTGATAGCATTAATAATGATAGAATAAGTCTTTGTAAATTATATGAAATAAATTTTTTTTACTAACAATGAAATAATGATTAAATGCTATATGTAATCAGATTTTTATTTGTAATGTAAAAGTTTTTAAAATGAATATATACAATAAATAGAAAGTACTAAGAAATTTTAATATAAAATATTTATTAGAGTTATTTTTTGGTTTATTATTTATTAAATTATTAAGTATTTATTCAGATAACTTATTTTTGAGTATTAAATTTGTGAGGAATACTTATTTTTAGTAAATGCGTATTTTCAAAGGAATACAGTAATTAAATTTAATCTTTATTAATAAAGTTAATAAACTTATCAAATTAAATTTTTATATTATTAAAATTAAATATATTTTTTGTTTATCTAAAATATATTAAAAAAAAATAAGATTTATATACTATGATTTTTTTTAATTAATTAAGTTTAAATTTAATATTAATTTTAAAAAACTTTTTTTTTGAGTTAATATTAAATCTGCATTTATTTTATAAAAAAAATAATATTTAGCATAAATAAGGTTGCTGGATGAAATATGAAGTTTAGATAGGCATCTAAATGATAAAGTAAAATTTGATTAAATTATATTAAACTTTATTACAAAATTCAGAAAAAGGAAAACTATATCAAAGTTTATAAAAATAGCAAAACTATATCAAATACTTAGTATAAATTTAACGAAACTAAAGGTTTAGGATCAAAAATGAGATTAGATAAGCATAAAGTAATTTTTAAATTTTTTGTAATTTTACTGCAAAATCCCTATAAAAAAAATATTTTTATATAAATAATTATTATAATTTGCTAAATAAAAATATTTGTCTTAACTGATTTATTTATATATTATAATAATTATAATAAATTCCTTTATTCTTTAATAATATTTTTAGTATTATATAATAATATCTTAATTAAAATCAAACTACAATGTATTATGTAATTGATTACAAATACCATTTGAATATATTTCATCCAATTGATCTTCCAATTTTTGATTAGTTCCTCTTGCTCCTACAAAGTAATCTTTTTTTTAAAAAAATTGTATTTTATCGTTAAAGATTGACAATAATTACTTACCATCTGTCACTTTCTTAGCCCATGTAAAGTATTCTTTTAAAAAATAAATATATAGTTAACGTTAAATTAATGAATGAAAAGTTACAATTAATCGCGAAAATTACCTTGAATATATTTTTTTGACCATCCTGTAGGTGCCACTCTTTGCAAATCTCTAAGATTATACAGTTTATCGGCCAATTTCACTTCCTTCGCCTATAAAATATAAAATATATAATTACATTTCAATCGAAATCGTTATCAACAGAAATAAGTCACATACCTTTTGAGATTTATGTGGAGTAGTTTCAATTTGTAATCGTTTACGTTCAGATTTCACCAAGGTTTTATCATCCGTACATTCCGCTACAATATCTCTAACCTCCCGCCCGAATTGCTGTTCGATCTGTTATGTATATAAAATTAAAAATTAATGATCATGAAAACATTTACACATTAAAAAAAAAATAATATATAGATTGTAACCTCTTCAAAAGACGTATCCGTATCTTCTACCGTATCGTGCTTGGTTTTTTTTAAGGGAAAAGTTAATAGAGTTGAATACATGAAATATTTAAATACCATTCAAATATCTACCAATATTGCGGCCTGTATAGTTGCAAGATCATAAATTCCAGCATCGGTAAGATTTTTAGCCACACCAATCGGATGATTAATATATGCTAAGTTTCCTCACAGGAAAAAAGTAAAGTCCTTGTTAATTTTCGCGAAAACCACCACACGAAATATATATATATATATATATATTAACTTACGTGTTCCTTGAGGATCCTTACGTTTCTGAAATGAGTGTTTCTTAGCAGCAAAGTCTATTGTGTCAATTAATTTTGAGATATCGAAGGAGGCATTAGAAACTTGTGTTTCTTGAGAAGCCATATTAAAAATTTAAATATTGATTTCGAGTTGATCGATGTTAATGCAACTCGTGACTCGACTCGTGGCTCGGTGCGACGTTTGGTCAATTTACCGAATATATTAAAATAAAATAAAATATTTTTTTGATTTAACGTGTCTTAAATCAAATTCTGTAAGAAACTGTTCCGATTTTTTTTAATTATTTATTTATATTTATATAAATATTTTTTTTTTTTAAAAAAAAAAAAGGCTCAAATCCTCCCTTAATATATATATATATATATATTTTTTGATAAAATTTTTTTCGTAAGCCGCAGATAAGTCTGTAATTACTTAAAATGAGCGAAGGTAATAAATATCCTTAAAAATTAATTTAAAACATGAACTTAATGCTAATAGATCGTCGTTTAATAGAGTTATCTATTAATGACACCGAGCAATTCGATATTGTCACGTGCTATCAGAAGTTTTTGAAGGATAGCCCCGTACGTCTTTCTTTTTTTTTTGTGAATTCGGTTCTTTATCACGAAAAAAATTGATTGTAATTTCAAATTTTTCGGTGATTGTGTGGCGAATGTGCACAGGATATGTCGATGCCCATCGCGGCAATAGAATCATTAGTTGAATTAATAAAACATAGTAAAGGTAGATGTCAACTTTTGTGGTGAAAGAGTGTTGTCAGTCTTTTAATTAATCAAATATCGCATCTCACTTTAAATACACGTGAATTTAGCAACGACTTTATCAGAATTCATGGAATCTCTCAAGGATGCAAGTCAAAAACTTAAAACTTCTGTAAGAAATTCGATTTCATTATCAGCAGGTGCTGATCTATTCTTGAGGTTCGTTACGAGGACGTCTCATGATGTAACGGTTCGTGATCACTTTCGCGTTATTTTTACATTCTTTAGATTTTTTTTTTTTTGTTTTTAATTTTATTATTATTTTTTTTTCATGAAATTAGAATTTTGAAGCTTGCAAAGTACATTTGATAAATAGTGGGAAGGTGTTGGTCGAAAAAGCTACAGCGGTTAGACATAAAATTGCCGAGATAGGTGTGCAATTTATTAAAGATGACGCAGTTAAGTTTCTAATTCAAATTTTTAAATTTTCAAATAATTTCAATTAATTTAAAGTACTTTGAACAAATCTAGACAATACTGATTCATTCGTATTCTCGTGTGGTGATGTTGCTGCTTCAACAAGCGGCTGCCCGCAAGAAACGATTTAAAGTTTATGTGACAGAATCGAGACCAACATCATTAGGGTGAGAAAAAGTAAAGTACCTATGCCGACTCATTTAAAATTAAAGATTATACGTTAATTGTTTCCATTACTCAATAGGGTTCAGTCAACAAAAATATTACGTAAAGCTGGTATCCCTGCTACTGTCATACTTGATACAGCTGTCGGTTATATTATTGATAAAGTTGATGCTGTATTCGTTGGTGCTGAAGGTGTTGTTGAGAATGGTGGTTTAATCAATGCGGTATGGTAGACTTAAGATTTTATTTACTTTTTTTTTTTTTAATTTTTATTTTTAAATAGTTATATATATCATTTAGATTGGAACTTATCAAGTTGCTGTCGTTGCTAAAGCTGCCAACAAACCATTGTATGCTGTAATCGAGAGGTAGTCCAGCATTATATTTTTTCTTTTTTTAAAACCCGTACGAAATTTTTTAAATAAAATCGTTATTTGATTTTCATTTTTTCTTCCAGTTACAAATTCGTTCGTTTATTTCCACTTAATCAATATGACCTTCCAACGCACACTCCTGATTTACTAACGTTTCCGGATTTGGAATCTCCTCGTTATCTCTCTAATAATGATGAATCTGAGGATGATGTTGAAAATTTTGAGGTAAATCATTCTCAAGACCACATTTATAGTGTAACATAATTGACTTGTCATAATATTAATTGGAAATTGATACTTTTTTTAATATTAGGCAAGTAATCCGACAGTGGATTATACTCCCCCGGATTATATTACATTGTTGTGTACTGATTTAGGTGTGCTAACTCCATCTGGTGTTAGTGATGAATTAATTAAATTATATTTGTAATTAATAAAATTAATCGATAACATTATGTATTTCGTAACATAAAAATATCCACCTCCCAAAAAACGAATGCACGAAAAAAAAAGCATTTTCGAAATATAAAGTAAATAAAAATATTCTTTATTAACATCAAAAAGGCAATGATGGCTTGTTCTTTTTCTTTTCTTTGATTTTTTCCTATTAAAAAAAACAAAATTTAGTGGATTGGACGTAATATATATATATATATATTGAAATATGGTTAATTCATTACCATTCTCCAATTTTCGATAACTGTTGGCATTTCTTCCAAAGCTTTCTGAATTTTCGCTTTCCTAAAAGTAAATTGAAATAAGGTGTGAAATTTAAAATATCTTTCCCGGTTTAAATTGAAACACGTTTTTTACCTCGCTGGGGCGTTCCTCTCATGTTTAGCACCTTTAGGAGGTTTGGTTCTAGGAGGCTTCTTTTCTTTCTTTGGTGGAAGTCCGAGATCTTTCGGATCCATACCTAAATATTCGACATTTTTCCTCATGTCGGCCAATTTACGTGAGGATACTTTTGGATGCATGTATCTCTTACGTCCCCATATATTTCTATATATAAATGTTGGTTTGAAATCTGAAGGTTTATAAGTAATTTTTAAATGATCCAGTACTTGTCTGGAAATTCGTTTGACGGGTTTGATGACCGACGACATTATGTCGTGGAGAAACAAGTGGGAAAAAAAAAATTTAAAAAAATATTATTTTATCGTCCAATCAAATTAATTGCTTATACAAACGATAATCTTTTACAGTATTTGGTTCAAGTGTAAATTTTAAATATTATATAATTTTATATCCTTTTTTTTTTTATTTAATTTTTGTTTATTCAATTTTTTTTTTTTTTTTTTAAAAAAAATTAGAGATTTTTGCATAGCAAGGAAAAAAAAGAAAAAAAGTTGTTTACAAATAGTACATAAGAAAAAAAGAAAGAAATCAAATACATAGAAAAATCTTCACTGAACTTTCTATAAAAAAATTATCCCAAAGAAAAGGATTATGTGAAGGGGAATCGTTTAGTTTTTTTTTTAATCAGAGGAAATGGAATTTTTTTTTTTTTTTAAAAAAAAAAAAAAGAAAGGTTAGAAAGAAATAATGTTCGAAATTTTTTTTTTTCTCGTTTCTTTTTCTTTAATATTATATAAAAAGAAAAAAGCACTTGTAGGGAAAAAGAAATTAGCGATAATTAAAAAATTCACAATAAGAATTAACCAATTATCCCCATAAAATCCAAAGAAACCTATTATCAAAATAGTGTAATAATACAAATGTAATCAAATTATGATGATGCCGAACCACTACCACTTGTAACGGCTTGCCCACTCGTTGTTGCATTCGCAGGTGTTGCAGTCATATTTGTGGTGATGGTGGTGATATTTGTGGCAACGACGACATTATTATTATTATTGCCTCCGTTATTGTTATTACTATTGTTATTTCCAATAGCAATAATAAATCTATTGTTATTACCTACAATTACATTATCATCGTCGTCGTCATCCTCCTCTTCATCGAACCTCTCACGATCTGCAACGAATAAGCTACTTTTGCTTATCACCCCGGTTTTAACATCCCTGATGAGATCGATTACTTGCCGAACGACCTTTGCGGGATCAATACCAGGCTTAACATCCTCAACATGAGCCTTATATAAATTCGAAACCTAAAACGGATTAAATTATCATTTAGCTTTGCTGTTCAATCATAAATAAAATGAAGAAATCTCATGTGTACCTTATAAATAGTTGTGATTTCATAGGTCGAACGTAAAAAGAAATCGGCATCCTCATCAATTTCCCTAAATATCGCTTGGTATTCCGGATGATCCTTGATTCTATATATCCACAATGCGCATCGATTAGTTATGTGCGTGGTTTGATGTAAGGCCAAGAAATCAAAAATAAAGAAATCACTAATTAATTACCTTAAAGAAATATCTTCTTTACGTTTATCTTTTTCCATTTGCTTCACCCTTTCCTTGATGTAAGGTTCAAGATGACTTAACGGAGCACGGTCTTCGTCATAAACCCAAGCTTGAGCTAATTGATTCAATGAAAACCATCCATTCGTGGCTATCCATCTAACCCGAGTTTGAAACGACACACCATCCACCGGTCGTTTAACCATTGCCTTATTCCAAAACGTTAGGCTCAATTTTGCTTCTCTAGCGGCACGATCAGCTGATGCCAGTCGACTTAACCTGGTTCGTTCACAATCTTTAATTTTCTCAATCGTATATTCAATACTGGGTCTATCGGCAAGATTACAGTTGACTTCATAATAAAAACAATTGGTGGTAAGGGCGGTCCAAGAACACGGACGTCTTGGTGGGTCGAAGAAATCCGAGATGGTTCCGAGACAACGCCTGTACCATTCTCGCGCTTCGGAAGTTATTAATTCCGGTGCAAACGACTTGACTTCGTTACGCAACTTTTGCATAAGTGATTCGGCACGTGCAATATATAATACCGCAGCCCTTTTTGGAACCGAAATATCTAATGAGAAAGAGACTCGTGGTCAGAAAATATTTATCGACCAACGATCTGTAGACGATTTAACACTTACTTCTGGCGGCATAATGATACTCATCCTTAGCTTCGGGACATAACAAGAGATCAGGACCTTGAAAATCAATTTCTTTATAACACCTCAATTCAACATCCATCCACTCCTTGCGTCTTAGTATCGTGTTTGCGCGAATAATATCCTTGGCAGCATCTTTTTTTTTAAAAAAAAAAATCAATAAAAATGGTATAGAATCACGAAACAATCATGTCAAAGTATTTAATAAATACATACATTCTAAGCAACCGCAATATCCGTCATCAGTTGAACAAAATCCATTGCAATTCTTTATGAAATCTTCATAATCACAGTACATTTGCTTTAATTGTTCTGGAGGTTCTCTCATATTATGATGTGATGATAACCCCTAATACAGTAAAAAATTGTAAGTATTCGATACTCAAGAGGGAATCTCCCACACTACGATCGAATCTTTGGTAACATACCTTCATCCAAAAGGTTTCACTATTCTTCATTCTCTGTTCCAGATTAGACTCATAAATGGTACTCAGATTTTTTATATGTATCGGTAAATCTGTAAAATACCAATCAATCTTTTCTTTTAATTTCCTTTCTAATAACTGCCGTCTCCAATGTTCTTGGGTTCTAGTTAAGGACATGTCACTCTTTAACCAAATCTGTCTCTTATGTACACGAGCCAAGTATAACTCTCCACATTTTTCAGGTGGAGGCTTCTTTCCTCGTCTCGCCCACCATTCTTTCGCATCTCGTAAAAATCTTTGATGATCTAGTTCAGATAGCATGAATTCATTTTGATTGATATTCAACCATGCTTGCGTAAGCGATTTTTTAAAAATATCCTCCCTCTCGAAATATGACAAAATCTCTTTATGTGTTCGATCAACTGTCAACTGGAATTCCGATGGAGTCGATGATGGACTCGATACCATTCCCCCTCCAAGCACAAAATCATCGTATATTCGTCTAGTCTTTAAATCTAAATCCATACGTAATTTTTCAATGGCAATGTCGGCTGATAAAAGTGTATTTAATTCCATCAATCTATTCACCCTTGGCACTACAACGGTTTGTAATTCAAACATGATATCATCCAAATTCTTTCGCAGAGCTTTACTTTTTGTTTGAGAGTTGGATGGCGTCGAAGGTGTAGAGCCATCATCACCATTATTGGATTCTTGTTCAATGGACAGGCGAAGTCGTTTTCGCGCCAAGCTATTATTTGTCTTGTTAGAAATATACTAAATCAAATAGAATCGTATATTCAAAATGTTAGTAAGATGTATAAATTAACATCATATCATCAGTAAATTAATTACCTCGTGGATTTCCAACTTAAGTTCCTTGGGGAACCACCACTCTTCCATGATCGATAATTCCGCCTTCAACTTCCAATCACTAAAACATTGGAGAACTGACCGCATCCTCTCAGAATAAGACTCATCTTGCTCCCTCTGTTTTCTCTTGCGTTTAACGTTCTCCTTTGCAAATTTCTCGGATTGACGTTGCTCAACATCGCGGTCCAAGTCGCTCTGTGGGTCAGAATATTTTTGTCGCCTTAAATGATCAAGATGATTCCGAAGGTAAAACGTACAACTCATGCCAAGATCATACACATAAGTTTTCCATGACTGGTTGAATAAAGAAAAGGAGGGTTGGTAACAAGATTATACCACGAATAACAATGTCTTTTGACAAAACATTACCTTTAGTACTTCAATCTCCTTGGGGGACAAAGTGAATGCGTATAGAGCACTCTTGTTTATCAATTGTCTAACAACGCAGAATCTACACAAGCGAACCTCCCATATAGGAATGGGATCACCAGGTTCACCACAAATAGTGCATACTTCCGTCACGTAATACTTGTAAGATTCGACAAACTAAATGATAAAAGATTGTAAAAAGGATATGAGCATTCAATCGTGTAGAATCAAATAAGAAGACGCGATTTAAACAAGTGAATTACCTGAACCTGATTCATCAGGAACCATGTGAAATATTTAACAATGACATAAAGGTTTAGCACAGATAAATCGATAATCTCTGAACGAAAAAATTAATAAAATTCAACATACCTTCCAATCAGATACTTTGAATTCTCTCGATTCCTGCTTGACCACAGATTGCCTGATTTTTGGTAAAACGGGGGCATGTATGGCCCTTTCAACGTGTTCGCCAGTGTCCATAGCACATTCATCAATAGGACAATACGATGCCAGCAGCTTATAATACAAGAATCTATACGGGCTATGTTGTCCACGAATCATATGATAAAATGATTTTGAAACTTGCTCCATTGCAGCTAACGAGGGTCCTGAAAGTGTAGGGAGGTTGGAGTATACGCGTTAACACGTTGTGAATAAATAAATTTTCAATCAAAAAAAATCGAAAGGATGACTTACCATCTGATAAATTATTGATGATGTCCAAAATGGAGATTATGATAAAAGTAAATAAATGAACAAAACAATTTTATGACATTGAAAATTTCACAGGTTTAAAACCTTCAAAAAAATAAATACACACCAAGGAATTCC